TTTTCTTTGCATTAAGTGCGCATGGGAGATGAAGGTTCTGTCGCTGATTTTTCTGTGGACTAACTGACATTTCACAATCCCCAACTACCGAAACCCCAAGGGCGTACACAAATTAAGCAATGACGTTCATCGCCGTCGGCATAAAATTTTACTCGCAGCCGTAAAGAACGCAACTCCAGGCAGCTAATCTCATTTGTGATTCACAGGAAATTTGGAACGTATTTCCTATATTGCACTGTTGCCGACGTCCAGTGCCTCCCTGTGTTTCTTAGCCTCCGGGCACCGATACTTCCTTAACAGTCACCAAACCCCAGGCACCATCGCGGGAAACGTCTACTGGTGGTGATTTCTGGCAATTATGAGTTTGCTAGTGCGCTGCGCACACGCCTGGTCGTTCCCGGCGCACCGTTCATCTGTGTGGAGATCATGACGGGGGGGGGCAGGGTGAACTGCCGGTCCAGGGCACTGTGGCAGTGTTGGCGAGGGCCTTGCCGCTATCGTCCCCTCCCCCCGCCTCCAACTAATCCGTTCAGACGTAAACATCGGCACTGGCTAACAAGTGATGCCTGAAATGACGGCATTTAACAAGCGGTAGGTTCACATACTGACGGGCTAATTTTAACCTCACAGTCAACCCCGCCTCCCCCCCCCCCTCGCAACACCAGCTGGAAGAATCGGTTGTCATGCCAAATCAAAGACGCACTAGAACCAAGTGGCTGGTTAGCTTGCCGGTAAGAGGAGACACGTGCGCACAGTTGTTCAATCAGCTGATAGCGAAACAGCGCAAAAAAGTCCGCGCAGCACACGCCCATTTGTCTCGCCTTTTTTGGTCAGAACTTTCATGATAGGGCGAAGACGTCGGTCATGGAGACTTTGATTACTCGACTTTTGCAGACTGTGCGTGGCGCTGGCAGCATGACTGTGGACGCGCATTTAAAAGCCCTAGCGGCACAGTGAGGTCCGGTTGCCAAAAGGGCTCGGGAATCTGGGCAAGTGTGGACACGTCTTGTGAGGTTTTTTTAGAAACAGGAAAGGACTCATATTCGTCCCGGCCCGTAGAACGAAACCGTAAGAGAGGTGGATGTCGTGGCAGCTAGGGATCGAGACTAAACGTTATAGCGGGAGAAAGGCTGCAAATTGATGACAGGAATATCCTTAGGTAGGCAAACACAACTGGAACCGGCGACACGTTTTGTGAACAGTATCGATAAGATCGGGCAAACGGAGGGGGGTTTTAAACCGGAATACTCCGCCTGTTAAAAAATCGGGACGTTCTTTTCTAAAAGACGGCGCTGATACGTAAACTTTCTGTCAGTCCTATCTGGGAAAATTAATGAGCTGCAATATCTGCGGTCACGATTCGGAATTAGATCGTCTTGGATGGTTGGAAAGGTTCCGGTTAGGAATACATGCCAGGATATATCAATTTGCCTGAGCTTCTGTGCAGCTATTATCAATACTGTAGTCTCTATATCATTAATATTTCGTATCTGACCTACAATTTAAAGATTACAGTCCCCGTCCCATCACTTTCAGCGTCAACGGTATTACCACTATTATAGTAGTAGTAGTAGTAAGTAGTAGTAGTAGTAGTAGTAGTAGTAGTAGTAGTAGTAGTAGTAGTAGTTAGTAGTAGTAGTAGTAGTAGTAGTAGTAGTAGTAGTAGTAGTAGTAGTAGTAGTAGTAGTAGTAGTAGTAGTAGTAGTAGTAGTAGTAGTAGTAGTAGTAGTAGTAGTAGTAGTAGTAGTAGTAGTAGTAGTAGTAGTAGTAGTAGTAGTGGTCGCGAACGACGATATCCACCGCGTGTTCTACAGCGTGGTGGGCGCAGCAGGGTGGTGTGTGAGTGAATTATAGTGGTAGCAGACTTGCGCAGCATCAGCCGAACTCCCTCCTCCCTCACTCCTCTGAGTCCGGTGGCAGGATAGAGTCGGGGCGGCAGGAGGCGGGACGGGCGCTGTGTCTGGCGAGGTCAAACGGCCCGTTTACACGAGTCACATGCGGCCTGGTTCCCCAGGCACGCACCGGGTTCTTCACCGAACAAAAGGCGACGGCTGAGACCCCATCGAGGCGTCTGAGGACCTGACGTTCTCAGCACCCAACCCCCTTCTAAGTACCTTCACTTACACTGGTGTGGTCGGACACTTTCGCAGCCGCAGCCACCACCGCCATTACGACAAAACCATAAGAACACTGCCAACTTCGGGCACTCTCTGCCCACCTGTCGGCGCAGAGCAAACAAGTTCTAGGCCTAAACCGTCCTGATTAGACACCTCCGCTTTCATACTGTCAACCCTACCTCTGGAATTAATCCCGCCGGTATAGTTCATAACACCAACTGCCGAGGCTTGCAACCTGGAGAACTCGGCCGAACCATGTGTGGTCAGATGCGGCCAGGCACACTACCACCAACCACTACTCACGTCGCCTCGTCACCAAATGCAACTTGATTCGTAGACCCGTGTCACCTGCTCCACGGGCCCATAAAAGCCAACTACCCATGGCAATGATCCTCGGTCAGGTAACGGCGCGTCAAAGAATATGTGCGAATTTGGCTAATCGGACACCCCCTCCCAGTACACCGTAACACCGAACACCAGAACTCTCTATCCTTCAGCCACCATTGGCTATGAAAGACGGACTGAACGACCGGGATTTTGACCGTCCACCGCGTGCTCCACAGGGTGACGTACGCGCGAATCAGTTTATAGTGATAGCAAACTTGCGCAGCATTTGCCGAACTCTTTCCTCCCTCACGCACATGGAGCTGGTGACAGGACAAAGTCAGGACGACAGGAGGTGGGCTCGGGTGCTGCGTCTGGCAAAATCAAGCAACTTGTCTACACGTCCCGCGTGCGGACCGACCTCCTAGGAGTGCACCGGGTTCTTCACCGAGCAAGTAGGGACGGCTCGGACCCGCCGAAGTGGAGTGCCACATCCAGAAAGCACCATGAGGCCCGACTTTCCGTTCTGAGAGAACCGGTTAGTCCGGCCAATTGGCAGTTTTCTACGCCCAGACTTTTGGCGCGCCGTGGTAGTTTTAAAGTACGCCAGCCCTTTTATTGTGAGGAATGCTTTGAAGTGCCGCAAAAATGGGTCTCACAGTGTTGACCTCTCTCCCTCCCCTCTCCCATGTACTAGTTAGCAGTCCAAATCCGTCAGCCACCTAGTGCTAGGATTGGGCGCACGTGGCTGGCCCGGCGTGAAGGCATGCCAACACATCCTCCCATGTGTGGAATTTGTTATGGGATGCGCGAACTACATAGGACATCACACAAGGTCATGGCGAGTAGAACTCACTATTTCAACAAAAACACGAGAAACGGCAGATGGCTCAGAATTGGCAAGTTGTTAGTGAAATGGAATGGAAGGTTACACGGCAGGACTGACGCTGATCACCATTAAACCTTTCTAGTGAAGAGTGCCGACGACTGTTGTTTACTATGGCAGGTATTCCGTTGGATCGGGTGCTCTAGCCCGACCGGCACAAGCTGGGCAACTGGTTTTTCTCCCAAAAAGGCAATTGCATCAACCAAGGAGGGGTGAGAAAATAATAGCCATATTTAACAGACTTAGTGCGATCCTTAAATTCAAGCAGGTAGGACATTCCGCACGGCGGACCAGGGGGAAGTAACACAGACAGATGAACGCGTCCACAGAGGGGATCGTCCGATCGATTTAAGGCCGGGTGCACCACTGACTCGGTCCTATCTCATGCGCCCAGACGCGCAATGCGAGCCTACCTCTCAGTCCGGCAAGCAGCTTAGACATATGATGCGGATAACCGCGAGAGGAGCACTTGACTCGGCCAGTAATTCAGGTAAATAGAGCATTTCTCTTGACCAACTGCGGCAGGCAAGGAACTCGCAGAGCTATATTCTGCCCAAAAGTGGTCTACCTTGCAACATTCACAGAAACGTCGCTGAAAAAGTAAGCTCACATTAAGCGTCAGGTGGGCTGGCAAGCGTGTTCTCCGGCAAAATCAGTAGGTAGGCGTTCGTCCTCATTTACCTGCCGTATGAGTTGCTGGTAACCCATGGCCTCTCACAAAAAATACTCTAATACCCGAATCTAATGTTTTATCCGCATAAGAAGACGACGACGACGACGACGACGACGACGACGACGACGACGACGACGATAACGACAACGACGACGACGACGAGAAGAGGAAGAAGAAGAAGAAGAAGAAGAAGAAGAAGAAGAAGAAGGACGAAGAAGAAGAAGAAGAAGAAGAAGAAGAAGAAGAAGAAGAAGAAGAAGAAGAAGAAGAAGAAGAAGAAGAAAAAGAAGATGAAGAGGAAGAAGGAGACGAAAAATAAGAAGAAGAAGAAGAAGAAGAAGAAGAAGAAGAAGAAGAAGAAGAAGAAGAAGAGGAAGAAGAGGAGGAGGAGGAGGAGGAAGAAAAAGAAGAAGAAGAAGAAGAAGAAGAAGAAGAAGAAGAAGAAGGCGTAAAGCCAAAGAATACTGTGAGCAAAAAAAGTATGCATTATAGGTGAGTATGTCAGTCTTGCCTTAGTTTTGATCCAGTTTTCAATGGCCGTCTCGTTGCGGGCGATGCTGCGTAGCTGACAGTAGGCGAGACCGCCAACAGCCAGAATCACACCGAATGCCAGCCCAAGGGCCATCAGGACAACGAAGATCTCGTAGAAACTGAATATGATACCGACGTTATAGCCGCGTCTGAATAAAAAGTAGGCCTACAGCAGTAGGAACAGGAGAATCGGGTTTTATGATGCAGAACTTGCCTTCTAGAGCACTTAGGCAGATTGATTGTTACAAAGAAATCGCCTTTTAGTGAGCACTCGGTACTCTGAGAACCTAAGCAGGGGGTCTCTATGGCAGAAGAAGCTCCAACTTTGCGGTGTAAAACATAAATTGCTAGTTAATTAGAGGGCGTTCAGATGACTTTAAGAAACTGGGCGAGCTTTACACTATTCTTAAGCATGGAGTTTGGCATTTTAAAGGGGCTACAGAGCCCAACAGGAAATTCACACACACCTACCCGGGTAAATACAAAGTATACGTGCCAAATGCACAAGGCGGAACAGTGTATACATCCGACTGGCGCCGATATGATAAAGTGGAGGAACATTCCGTGATTCAGGTGTCCCACACAGCAGTTGATCCAGGGGCAATGGTGATCCATCTTGAGAACACAGCGTCCGCACTTAGAGCAGTGATGAGACCTCGGTGGTTTGTAACCTTCACACAGAGCGCAATACTGTAGTTTTGTATGGTCATTGGCATTCCGCTAGAGCAGTAAAAAACAGCGCAGTTATGGAAAGCATAAACAGGTACAGCATGGAACATAGTGCCATGAGTGGACAACTTTTGTTTTGTGCTTTGCTTCTCATCCCTTCGCAACAGAAACGATACGCGCGGCTCATAGTACGGCAAACTTCTCAACGATCAACAGGCTCGTTAGGTCTGCTGTTATATGCCAATGGTTCCCAAAAAGCGGCGTAAGGTTGTATTAAATATCTCTTATAGACTGCACAGAAGTTTAAAACAGTGCGCCGTTGGGGGTTTCTGTCAGAGTATAAAGAGCGTTTTCATTTTAGGCAAAACTAGAAGTCTGTGTTAGCCTGAGAATGCGGTGGATGGAAATTCTTCGGTTACGTGGGGCCTTATCGTGAGAAATAGTACCAACCAGTCTGATATGAAATGCGCAGTTTGGAATAATCAAGCTGTCCCTTTTACAGTAAATGCTTTTGTGAATCATATTATTCTTCATACTATCTGCATAAAACGTCTGCACGTTCATTAAAAAATAGATTATTCTTGCTGAGCGGTAGGATCACATGCACCCGTGCACAACATGGTAGTTGCGACTATTGGTACTCCATGCAAATGGGGGTAAACACGTCCTCCAGCTGGTTCTGTGAGGCCTTCACAGTGAATATACTTGGGCAATTGACCAGTTTGAGAAGCCAAGTCAGATTACGCGTATATCAGATAAACGGGATAGTGAAGAAACCCTTATTGTCATGTATGACCTGACCCTCTAAAAAAGGTCTCTCTTTAAATTTGGACGGCTGTCCTAGATGAGGAATGCCAGTTGGTTAGCAAATAATTCTGCTGCAAAGGAAGTTCACCGAACTCCGAATGTGTGCGTAGAGGCAAAAGTCGTGAGTCAAGAAAGTTATCGTGATGGTTTCGCAGTAATTGGGGTCCGGGACTGAGGTTAGACCTTTGTTACAAGTAATACCACACGAAACAGGTCGAAATCTGTAGGTGAAGACAGTCCTGTTGGCAACAATGTCATTCCAAACTGTGTTGAGTATCAAGTAAGTAGCGCCCTAAAACACCTTTATGGTAGCTAAGAAATTGTTAGTACAGGCAAATATATGAATTCTGATTATATCGTCCGCAACATGCGGAACTGATAAAAAAAAGCGTAAGCTATGTCGCTGTGCTTTATATTAGTTCAAAGAAGCTCATCAATGAAACAGCCATCCAACGTGGTGTTTACGAGGCTCTGGCGTCACATCAAATACACACGGGCTCCGTACTGACATGAAGTAGCTTTTAGTTCGTGCAGGTCTATGTTTAGAGGTTAGCATTAGAACCTGAACCACTGAGGCCATATATGACTAGGAAATCTCAATGGAAAGTAAGAACAGACAGGACAACAAGTGTAGCGAAGGTTGCCGATTTCAGGTTTATCTTCAACTCAGTCACTTTTTTCGACCTCAATGGAATCTATTCTAAAGACGTAATGTTGCCTAGACTGACAGTTGACCGTCATTTATACTCGTCTGTAGTCTCAAAACAAAACCCCCTGGCTCCATGTTTTGTCACCCTACTTTATTCCCTCGTGACAGGAGACAATTTTAATTACAACAGACTGTAATATGGGCGAAGCGCAGCAATACACATGTAATAATTAGTCATTCAGCAAATTTGTAGCCTAACTGTCCCATGTATGGCGGCGAGCGCTTACAATAAGGACAGGAGTCCCGTGGACGGAAGAGATAACCGACCACCAGCTAATCTTGCAGGTTTTCCGACACTAAATGATCTACGATTATGCTTGCTCGCTTACAGTTGCGTTTAACTCCACTAACACTAGATCTGCTTACTTTGCAAAACCCACTGGTCGTGAAGAGTTTTATTACCTTCAACGCCAAGTCGCCGGTTTGAGCAATTTTAGAGGTCTTCTTTCTTCTTGGGAACAGTGGATTTCTAATCGCCTTGGTATAGAATACGCATCGACATGGCCGACTCATAAAGAAGCAGTGGATGAGTAGTGAGCAACTCCACGTGGGAATTACGTTCACTGATGTAGCATGATTGTAGAACGAGGTACCGGCGTTCTCTGGCCACTACCGACAACGCCTTGGGTGAATTAAGCTCTTAAAATGCGCAAATATAGCCTTCATTCCGGGGATACCTAAATATAGAATTACTGTGAGTAACTCTCAAGTCAACCCCTTACCGAATTTTTCGTCACACTGTCTAGTGAACCCTGGTTTCTACACCTGCAGATAATCACCAAAACGCCGGTAAATCATTTATTCAACGATGTAGTCGTAGTCCTCCCCCGAATGGCAAAATGGAGGCGACGTTTAACTACCAGCTAAACGCGAATCAAATACATTTTCTGGAAGAAAAAAATAAAGAGTCTTACAATGGCGGGAAGGGTAAAATTCTGATAACGGGGAGACAATTACCAAACTTATTTTGGCGGATTATGCAAGTGGTTGCTATAGACGGCAAACCCCTATAATATAACACTCGCCCCGGACAAGGCTTTACGGTTAATCTACGGCTAGTTTTGTGGTCGTCAACAGATCTGTAGTGCCTAGATGCAAAATCCGGCTTCAGGTGATAGGCTAAAGTTGTGCAAGTCAGCCAAACGGATAACTAGCTCCACACAAACACGCAAATCCGAGATGTAAGCATTGCATCAGAAAGAGGTTAGTACACTGTTACTGGGTGACAAAGGTAAAAACGAAAAAACGCAACCAGTGTTTGTCCATACGTACTGGTTTCCATGATAGTTTTGCAAATCCTGGACCAAGCCAAGCGGCATATAAGTAGCCCCTCATAATGACGATAAACTCTATGCAAATGAAGACTATATTTAGTAGTCCAAATGCGCGGGATACTGGGCTAACTGTGGCTTGAATGCAGTATAAAGACATGATTGCGAGGAATATAACGATGCTCAATCCAATTATAGGTCCCCAATGCATCAGCCTGGAGAGTTTCGATGAATACGTTCTGCAAAAGGAGTCATTGAGTCGGAAATCATCATGTTGGCCCAATTTTCCCATGACACTTGGGCGCGACTCAAAGAACGGGAAATCGGGGGCGAAATCCGATTTGGTACTAATTATATGGTACATACAAACAAAGGAGCACAGTACTGTTATGCTTGAGTTGACATGCAGTTTCTCATGGAATTAGCATTTTCCTCTAATTTTTTTGTGGAGTACGAATCGGTGCGGTTAGCTTTAAAGGTTTCCGAGTGCAAAAGAACACATAGAAAGAGTACAGCGCTGTTCTGAAAAGCGTCCATGAGGACACCGTCAGAGCAAATAGAAGTACTGAAAATCTCTGAACGCGGAACGGCATGTAAGGTATACGGTTGCTACTTATTATTGCATTCATTTCTACGTTGAGAGCATGGTCACCGGCGTTTCGGAAGTGTCGGACAGGCAGTGCGTCTGAAAAATTGTCGAATATACATTCAGACGTGGCTCAGAATATCCTAGAGTAAGTATTTCACATGGTTTTAAAGAGGCCTGAGAAATTAGGACTTTTAATAAGAAAAACTCTTCCCTGAGCGGAGACGGACTTGATCGGTTGCGGATGGCCATGTTAATTTGGCAGTTCAGGCGTCGGTTCCGACGATGTTCACAATGCACCCATATTATGGTGTAAGCAGGGACGGTAATTTGCGCATGAAATAAATTCTAGGGATAATACAACTGCGCTCACTCCACTTCACTCTATATTCCCTCAGTGACTTGGGTCCGGTGTCAAAACAGAGTGAAGATGACTGGCGGCAAGATCAGGCGCTAATGGTTGGCGCGGCGTGAACCTGCATACACACACGGCCAGTACAAAAAGGACTACAATGTAACGTAATTAGAAAGGGAAAACGACCCGGATTCAAATGTTGTGGAAGTGTCGAAAGTGCCATATCAAGAAGGTGCCTTTGCAGTCTGAATCTCCGCCATAGGAGGATTACCGAGTTATCCTGTCAACGGTAGTTTTCTAGGCCACGAATTTTAGTACAGCGTGATATGTTCAATGTGTGTCAGATTGTTTATAGTTACAAAAGTGCTGAAGTGCTGGGAAGATAGAGCCCCCAAAGTCGAAGTCACTCGCTCTCCCCTCTCAGGTAAATCAGTAGATTGTCCGAGCCGGCCAGCCAATTGATGCTAAGATCTGGAATAGTGGCTGACAGAGCTGTGTGGTCCGTCTACCCGTGGCACATGCTACCTCTCTCTACCAAACACAGCATATAACGTTCTCACACGAAGGGGTGGGCTTCTGGGATCTCATTTGCGTTAGAGCCACAGAGGCCACATGGGGAAGGAGCCAAAGAACACGCTTACCACATATATATGTGGGAGGCGCTGATTCCGCATCTATGGTGGGTGGTGTGATGTGAGTTCGTGTGTGATGTAGATGTTGTTGGGGGTAGGTGCGCTGATGGGGTTTAATCCGAGGAACTTTACCGCAGATTTGCGCGCAGACTCGTGTGATCGAGTAGGCCCGCGTGGTGACTGAATGCGTGTAGACAGTGCAAGCAGTTAGGGCGAGGGCGGTGGTTCTTTGTCGGTGTTCCAGGTACTGACCGGCTCAGTCATGGTGGTTGGCGACGACCACCAACCTCAACTAAGTATTGATGGTCATGCCTTAAATGTGCCTGGGGTTATTAAGGATCTGGGTGTATCATACTCCAGGAACCTCAATCTTTCGGAGCACTGTGTCTTGATAGTCTCCAAAGCACGTAGAACGACCGGGTTTATCCGCCGAAACTTTAAAATTAGCGACATCAAAATGCGCCTTTATAACCTGTACGCTAGACCTGGCCTGGAATACTGTTCGTTTTTATTTTGCCTCATACGTGCTGTCGAGCGGAAGAAAATAGAATCCGTTCAACACTTTTGTTACCAGGAGAGTTTTTACCCTGGAACACTGACATCTGTCTTACCAATAACGTTGCCGGCTTACAGGCTTTGATCCTTTATGGTTTCGCAGATTACAAAAGGGACCATTTTTGCTATTTAAGCTTTTATATGATTTTTCCTTCAACCCACGGACTTCTTTAAGACATCATGTTCACCCCCGACGTAACAGTCACCGTGAGGTCTTTTTATTTCTTTCTCTGGTACGTACCGTTAAATATCGTCGGTTCTTTTCTGTAAGTGTAATTGCTATTTGGAGTAAACTACCCAGGAATGTGAAAACTCTGCAAATTTATCCTTTATTTAAGAGAATTATTACACAATTTTTTCATTCAGAAAAACTCCCACAAATTTTGGGTGCTGAATCCACTGATCGACTTTACCGTAGCGATGGCGTTTGTGGTCTCTGATCTCAATGGCCGGTCTCACCAGGGACAATTTATTTGGCCACCAGCGACAGCTGTTCTTCGGCGCTTCTGTTTGGACTAGCCCCAACTTCATGAAAGGAATTGACGACTGATAATATCCGATACCGTGCAACTCCCTTCTTGACTGTCTGCACTTTGTGGTCAGCAGTTTCTTTTCTCCTGAACCCTCCAAACCATAAAAACCACCATCAACTTTATTTTTATTCCACTCCGAGAAGTCGGAGAACGGAAAGATCTCCACGTTTAGATGACTAACAAACTAAAACCCTCTAAACTCTAATGTATGGTAGCCAAAGTTGGAACTGCGGCACTGTACGCTATCAAACGGATTTTTACAGCTTTCGGTGAATATTAGTTCTCCAAAATCCTCAGTACATTTGCAAGAACATATCTTCAATGTACGATCCTAACCTGGAGGCCCTGGACGCAGCAGCTGAGGGTTTCGGAAATCCGCTGAGCCATTTCGTAATCGATCATGATATTCTTTGAAACTGCACTTCATGTGTATGCGGATTTGTCCACTTTTGCTAGCTGGGTCCCTCTGACGATGACATGGGGATCATTGTATTCAGCGTTCAGCGCCTACTGATGCATGACTACATCCTCCTCTGTGTTTATGCTCGGTCCGAATTTATAGCAATCGAAATCTAAGAGGTATTCACTCTACTGCATGCCCTCTTCGTCTGCGGCATTTAGTACGCGTTCATCCTCGCACAATAGGTCGTGGACGCTGTTTTAACTAAATTACTTCGAAGCGTCCCCGGATATTCAGGTCAATAGGATACTTAAACAAGGGTTACTTGTACAGTCAAGGCGTGATATCGACAACCACTTCCATTTTCTGCTCACAGAAATATCTACCTGTGTTAAGACAAAATAGAAGATCCTGTCGCATTTAGTACCGTTTCGGCTTGGGCGGAAACGCAGAACAGAGTATAAATACCATAAAGTGAATTTCTCTAGGAGATAATATCCGTGGATCTAGCAGCCATTGAACCACGAATGAAGGTTAAATTTCAAGTTCCGAGCATATGCATAAGTGAAGAAGAGGAGGATTCGAGCATCGAAGCATTTTATTTATTGTCCTGAGCTTTCAGACTCGTGCGGGAGTCCATCGTCAGAGATAGTAGCAACAACAGAGCAAGCGACAGTTATGAGGCATGTAGGACAACCATCGACCGACGGCGCAAAACTGGCGGTGACTGCGCAGGGCTCTATACGCCGGGCGGCATTTAAATCTAAGGCGGCCCTTTTTCGACGCATAGAAACTGGACTGTTGGGGAGGAAGCGGACACTGAAACATTTATATAACACCATTCAAAGTGCATTCAGAATTGAGATCAAGATTTGAGAATTGATTTGCATTTCCACTGTGTCTAATGTGTCCTCAGTCTAACACCTTGATAAGCCCACGCATGTTTTCTACATTTTTAGTGAATTAAAGCAACTTGGGATGTCTCGATATAGAGTAACGGAGGAGCAGTACCGGCATTGGGGACTTCGTTTAGGACGCCGAAACTACTTTTCTGCACTTCACGCGAATGAGGGATTTCCAGACAGACGTGGTAGACCTAGTATCGGCGATATTCTGCAGACCAGTGATTCTCAGGTGTTGTTGTGCGAGGGCGTTGTAGGTGTGGCGAAATGCTTCAAAGAAATTTAAGGTTAACGAAAAAGTGACTGCGCTGCCAGTGGTCTAAAGCTGTATTAAACCACAGACTTGTCAATACATCTTTTAAAAGTTGCTATCTATTGTTTTGACGTTCCTAACGAAATGCCATTGTGAACAATGTTTTTGAATTTTGAATCATTATCATTTCGTTGTTGGTGAGGCGGAATGCTGGTAAATTTTAATATCGGAAACGTGTATTTCAGGAAAACGGTCTGAAAACCACTGTTGTTGTTTAATCAAGGGCCCTAAGTATGTTGTGGACCAATTAAAAACTTCGAGGACTAAAAACGTCGGCCGCAGCCTTTAGCATTCGTAAGAGTATCAGTGTTACATTTGAGCGCAAGGCACCTTTTCTCTTTAAGGTGTGAGTTTTTTCCGCTGAGACAATGTCTTATTGACTCTTCCGAGGTTAGTATGGGTTATTTGAATTGCCACAATTCACACAGGCGAGCTTGAACATGTTCAACCTTGAGGCGGGTGACACAACTGTACTCGGTAATTGCGCGTAGACCAAAAGTATCCTTATCATCATAGGGAATACGTAAAAAACGAATAAGAGACCGTTGTGCTTCCCACAACAAACCCCATAGTAGTGAGGTCCAGTATATGGAACTATGAACTATTAGCCACACTTAAGATGGTGTGGAAGAGGGCGTAGTAGCTGATTCTAATTGCCGGAACTTTGCATTTAGATGTCGCCGAAAGGAACACGAGTGTTATTGCCGATAAAAACAATGGTGCTGCGGTCCTAAAATGCTGGCAAACAGCAAAGTGGCAAAGTGACCATTTATGTCCACAATGTTACG